TGAAATTTTTAAGCTAGGCTCAAATTTTATTGTTTAGAGCCTCGGCTCTATATAAACTTTTCCCTGTAAGGGTGCGCTTTGTATAGAGATGAGGCTCTAAACAATCAAATTAGAGCCCACCTTCAAATAGTGTCTAGAAATGTGGTTTCAATACTAGAAATCACTGTGATAGCCTTAAAATATATTTTCATCTATAAAATTTAAAGTTTAAAAAATAGTGTAGATCGAGCAGATTTGTGAAAACTTGACAATCTTGAGAATTAACGACCCAAAAATGTGTTATAAGAATCACTATTTTCAAAACTTGAAATCCATTTTTTTCTTATGTCCATGCATATTGGTATCGAGATGATCGATTTGAGGATATTTGGGCATCAAAACAACCTCTTCTAGTGAAATTATTGAGGTAGGCTCTAATTTGATCGTTTAGAACCTCAGCTCCATACAAACTTTTTCCTTTTTATAAACCAAACTATCCTTCATTTTCTTTAATTTTCACCCCACACCATTTGTGTGAAATCATTTCTTTTTTAAACAATGTGAATACTTTTACAGAAAGAAAGTCTCCCCACAACTTTGACTTTGAAAAGCAAGAAAAACAATGGATGAAACCAACATCCATCTCCATTGTATTTGGAGAATGTGGCATCACAATATTTATTTTTTACCTTAATGCGTACGGAACGCTAACCTAAAGGGGAAATATTACCCCGTCCTGAATACTGAATTCCTTCAAATGCTTTATTTTTCAATGTAAATGATATCAAGCCTTACGTTGGCAGGCCACCATCCCTGCACTGTAGCCTACCACATATGAACTATTTGGTCCTTCGAGGCTTCTAGAAAATAAATGTTAACACTACGTTTTCACATTCAACTACCACATTGTATCAAACAAATTTATTTAATTATATAATAGTAGTAGGAGATGCAAGCTACCCACTTCTAGTGCAAATAGTGCACAAAAAATAGTAGATGAGTGCGTTTCCTACCCTCAAAAGTCCATTAGTATACTGTTTGAAATAAAATAGGTAGTTGAGTATGGGGAGTCGTATACTGTTTTAAATCCTCCTTGACGAAGTGATCCCTTTTTCTATGGGAAAGGAATTGGGGTGGTGGGGGTAGCACCCTCACACCCTAGCCACAATGTTATGGTTTCCACTTTCACCACTAATACCGTAAAAAAAAATCACTCTTAACCTATTTGAAAAAACGAGTAGGGCCTGTCTCTTCGTTGAATTACACAAAAAAAAGAATTATATACTGTTTCAGTTAACATTTGAGCCGCTTGCTCGAGGAGATTACCCCTCAGATTAGCTTTCTTATTATTTTTAAAAAAAGCTTTCTATGTGACCCCAAATTCCGAATCATTTCCAAAGGCTCCTATATCTCCAAACAATAAATGGTTGAAATTTGTCGTAACATTTCATTTGAAAAATTTTACTAGCTAGCTTTGGATCGAATCTCATACTTCTTCACTTTACATTGAATGAGTAAACAAATTCTCCAATACCATTAATTGTCAAATTATTGCCAATTGCAAGTATGTTTTTATAGTCGAAGAGCGAAAACCGTGTGTGGAGAAGTTTAGAGAAAATAATTTCCCAAGTTTTCACTCCAAAAATACTATGCGAGGATAGGTTTCTTCCAATGTAGGCCCTAATTGGATCTTTTTGATACGATAAGCAACGAAATCTGAACGGCTCCTAATCGGATCTTTTTGATACGACAAGCGACGAAATGTGAACGGCTCAATTACGTGGCTAAGCTCATGGTGCCGTTCATCCCTTCAAATTAAAAAAAAGAAAAATTTAGAAAATGTAACTTAAAAAATATTATTTTAGCCCAATTAACATAGGCCGTTCATTTTGGTGGAGATGTTCAGATCTAGGCCTTAGAATGATCTTTTTTCTTTCCAATTATTTTTAGATAATTTTACTATCATTAGATTATCAATATTAAAAAAAAAAAAAATGATTTTGAATTCATAAAGGTTTAAATCTTGAAATTCATCAAATGGACGCCCTAGATTCATTGTTGGAGGGACTCATTTTTTTTAAGTTTTTTTTAAATTCCACCACATAAAGCACGATATAAATTTTTTATTTTATTTTATTTATTTATAGTATTTGTTGAATTTCTGATTATCCAGACCCAATCTAGATTACCGCTCCAACGACGCAACACAAATTTGTGGGTGAACGATCCTCCCCACTTATCCGGGTTTCAAAACACTGGTAGGTGGACATAATTAGACCGAGTTAGGGCATTAGTGTGCCATTTTATTACACAAGTTCATATAAGGTGCACCTCAAAAATCCTATAAAAAAGAGTGTTCCGAAGTTGGAAATCCTTGATCATCTCTATCTCGATATGTATAGATAGAAATTATTGTAACTTATAATAAAGTATCTCGACTGTCTATTTTTACTATTTTTAAATATTTATATATCTAATCTGCATTATTGTAAAATTTTCAAATTTTATAACTAGAGTTAAATATAGATTTTTCAAGCCATTGCAAAATTTAGTCTCGCCTGTTACTTGTATAGCATAAGGTGGTGGGCAAGTCCTACTACCTGACCTTTTGGTTTTTATATTATTATCTTTAGATTAGAGGTACTCCAATGAATTCGGGTAAATTCGATGGCATACTTGAACAGTAGGTGATTATCATCTTTGAAACTGGTACCTTCTCACTCGAAGAAAAGGAAAGAAGAAAAAAAAAAAAAAATTAACATGTTGAACTAAATGCCGACTGCTTATGAACAACAATAAATAATTACGAATTAAAAATTCATTGCAGTCATCACAGCTGATACGGACTTTAAAAACCCTTTGAGTGATTATAATTTTATCGATATTAATTCATCTTCCCGGAAAGGGGAAACCCACAATCAAATCTTTGTGCCTATGTACATTAGAGGCCCATGGGGGAGGGGGGGCTATAAATACATAGACATTCGTTTGAGTTATTCGCTTTCGTTAGAGCGAGAGAGAATGAGTTACATATTTTGTAGAGAGAGGATCGCCATGGATCGATGCAGGTCTAGCCTTTGGTTCACGTCCTCTTTCATTCTTTTTCTCATCATAACACAATCCAATTTTTCGGCTTCTCAAGAAGTTGGTAATCTCTGCCACCCAATTTTTGTATACTGCAATTTTTGTCTTTCCCCTCTCTCACTCCTATCCCCATAATATTTTCTGATCTCTTCTTCCTTGTTCAGCAACATTATGTCTGGTTTTTGTTTTTTGTCCTCTCTCTCAACTGATGTTTCCCTCCCTCTTTCATATGATGTTTTTGTTTAGAGCCTCTGCTCCATATAAACTTTTTCCTGTTTGTTTAATGAGTGGCAGAGGATGAGAGCGATTTTGATTATTTAGAAGGCAGTGAGAAGGGTCCGAAGCACTGGGGCGAGATCCATCCGGAATGGACGGCTTGCAACAATGGGGATATGCAGTCTCCCAATGACCTGCTTCACCAAAGGGTGGAGGTTCTACCAAATTTGGGGAGCTTAAAAAGAAAATATAAGCCCGCTAAAGCAATCCTAAAGAACAGAGGCCATGATATAATGGTATATCTCTCACTTTCTGTCTCTCACTGTATATGTGTTGATTGAACGTAATTAAACATTGTTCTCTCTCTACTTTTTTGTGTGTATAAATTGTTGTGGCAGCTTAAGTGGGGGGAAAATGGAGCTGGAACACTGGAAATAAACCAAACAGAGTACGTTCTGAAGCAATGTCATTGGCATTCACCCTCCGAGCACAGTTTCAATGGTTCAAGGTAAATTAATTAATTGATTATACAATATGTTGGTCTCTGTCCTGTTGCACTTTTGATTAACTAATTTGAATTATTTCATTCCTTCTATGACCTTTTTATCCTGTCGCGCATTTAATGCGCATATGTAACGCTTTCACATTTGGAAAACGTTTGTAACTCCTTCACATTTACTTCCCAAATTGACTAAAAAACATTGGGTTTGTTTGATTCAGATACTCTTTAGAGGTGCACTTGGTTCACAAGAGCAAAGATGGGAAGGAAGGCGT